GCTTGAGGACTTCAGGCTTTTTTTCTAGAATGGATTTTGCAGAAATACAAGGAAATGTGTTCACTAGTTTTTATTCCTTTTGTGCACAGAAGTGGCTGAGACACTTTAGAAAATTGCCTAATAAAATATTATTTTCTCTATAGTACTTTGGTAAAAATATTTTATTTTATTATAACTTACCCCATTGAACACAATTCTGGTCCTAATGAATACCACTTTCAAGCAGTGTTTCCTTTTTGGGCTTTCTAACTATCAAGGAAAAAAAAAAAACCTGGGTTTTTTGGTAGAGCATTTTAAAATTCAAATTCTTATAAGGAAATTAACTGTCTTGTGTACTTTAAATCTATGACTGGGATAATTCATAAACTGCAATTAAAACTTTAATATATATAGTGGAGTTCTAGATAATTGTACATGCATACACAGAAACACCAAAGTTTCTGTGAACAATCTCCTAGTTACAACTGTCAACTGGCTCCTTACTTACTGGAAGGAAATGTGCTGAATCCATTTACTCATCTTTCTCAATCAGGATGATACGTCAATGAAATGCATGCATTCCATAATATAGGAAAACTATGCTTGCCAATAAATTAGGCCTTTCAAGAACTTGTTAGGCATGTTGAATGCATTTATTTTTGAAAGACTTTTTTTCATAAAATGTATATTTCTAAAGGTATCAATTTCACATTATGAATAAAGATCTGAAAAATATACTGCTATTTGTGATTTGATTGATGGAGGGTAATGAGTAAGTAGCTGAAATTTTAAAAGAAACTAAACTTCCAGCCTTCCATAATACATTTGAAAAATAGACCTGCAGAAGAGATTTAAAAAAATAAGAAATGTTGCCAGGAGTCAAAAAATTCAGATAATGTTATCTCCAGTAACAGTAATTCTGATTTGCTTTAAGGAAACTAATACTTTTTATGTATTCAAATACTATTTGCAACTTAAAGAATATTCAGAGTTAAAGATGATCTTGCTATTATTCATCTAACAGTGATCAATAGAAGTACATTACATTTCTGAAGCAAATGCCCAGTGAGTTGTTTAACATAGCCAAGATAAGCATAGTAACATTTAATTTATAGCAATTTTAACTTTAGTTCCTAGATTTTCTTGTAAGGATCCCAATTATATAATAGATTATTGCCTTCCACAATGGAATCAATTTTAGGATAAAGAGTATACATGTCAAGAGCGTAAATAAAGGATTCCAGGGATTTTTATCTGTTATCCTTTAAAATGTAATGTCAGAAAGACCAGAAAATGGCTCTCTTTCCACTTGTGGCCAAGTCCCAAAGACTTTTTGTCATTCCAGGAGTCTGCATCAGGCAGAAGTGAAGCATTGTTGGAATTTTGCCAGATTTCCTTGCATCATAATGTGGATGTAGTTGCAGCATCTGCACAAAAGATGATGTTCAGTTTTTAAAATTAAAATGCACAAAGTTCAAAAATCTGTCAGCATTCAAACCCACTTAATTTAAAAAAGATCCATGTCATTGACCTTCAGATGTTGATGTGAGCATGTCTGTGTCTATGTGTGAGAATATCTGGATTAATTTAACGTTCCTATTACCTTGTTTTTGCAACAAAACTCCCACTGCCGTAGCCACACTGGTATAGCTTTGTCAGGGAAGATCTCCAGTATATCCCATGCCATGAGAAGAACACACAGGACATGCTGTGAAAAGTAAAATGCCAATGTAGTTACATTGCTTTATGAATAACAATCACCAGCTTCTGTCAACAAAGATGCAGGCATAGGTTTTTCTGGTGGAGCTGTGACATGGTGGTCCATATGACACAGCCAACTATTGTGATATGCTACTTCACTGAGTTTTCTCCTTGCTTTTAGTCTAAGTTAGTGGTGAAAACTGTTCTGTGTTGTAATTCTCATTGAAAGTCACATTCTGGCCTAATGATCTCCAGTGGTAACAACATTGTTTCACTACAAACAACTGCCTTTTTCAGTCACCAAAAAGTCTTAGTCATTCCAATGACTCGGATTTAAGTAATTTCAGCACCAGGCAAATGAGTGGAAAATAAGCTTTACTCTTCTTTTTGGGAGAAAACATTAAAAAACAAACTAAGTAAATTTCAATTTATTTTCTCAGTTCTAATATAAATTTGATGAAAACTGCTAATTGTCATAAACTTCTATAATATCTTGACTCAAGTTTTCCTAACAAACTTTGCCACTGTCATTTCAACCACTTGTTCTAATAAATACTTAAAGGTCATTCAAAGTTTGTGCTGTACTGCATTGTAGAACATCAAAATGTCACAACAACGCTAGCTTTTTGGAGTTGCATGATAATATATTGGCACAGCTCCATGGAAAGTCAATGGAACTATTCTAATTCATACCAGTCGAAGACCTAGCTCACAGGGCTTAAACTGAAATCAGATTTCACTTACAACTCTAATTAAACAAAAAGAGTCATAAAACCCATTACCATTACAGTGAACTATTTTTCAGGACAAAAATGGCACTGCTAGTTTGACACATAGGTAATCTATTTCAATGGCTAAATGCAGAGGCCAGTGATTCCAACACTCTGGAACGAGATGATTTTTTTTCTACCCATAATTTTAATTCTTTTATGAATACTTCAGTTTTCAGGTCCCAGTAGAACAGAATTAAAAAATTAGAAACATCTACACTTTTTTTTTTTCTATAAAATTTTACACTTCTCTTTGCTTTTGATTCCCACTGCTGACTTCCTAATGAAGTCAGCACAGATGCAGTTCTGTGGGTTTGAACTGAACAAATTAACATGCCATAAGATATTTCATAAACCAACAGCCTGTGAAACTGGAAGTACAGTGGAAAGATTTGTTTGTATCATGATCTCTCATTGCTCAAATTCCCCAAGTTCAATATCAATGTTTTGGTTACTTTTTTTTTTTTTTTTCAGAAAGCATTTCTCTTTTTAGTCTGGAGAAGAGAAGGCTCGGGGGGGACCTTATGACTCTGCAACTACCTGGAAAGAGGTTGTAGTAAGGTGGGGTTGGTCTCTTTTCCTAAGTAACAAGTGATAGAACAAGTGGAAGCAGCCTCAAGCTGCACTAGGGGAGGTTTAGACTGAATATTAAGAACAGTTTCTTCCCCAGAGGGTGGTCAGGCATTGGAACAGGCTGCCCAGGGCAGCAGTGGAATCACTGTCCCTGGAAGCGTTCACAAACCATATAGATGAGGCCCTTAGTGACATGGTTTAGTGGTGGCCTTTGCGGTGATTGGGAACGGTCGGACTTCATGATCTTAAAAGTCTTTTCCAATTCTGTGATTTCTTAGGGTTAGTAAAATATCCCCCTAACTTGATTTTTGAAATGTTTTGTATAATGTTGCATTTGCATTTACACAAAATATTTATAAACTAAAGATAGGGAAAGCTTGGCTGGTTTACCCATGCAGGTGGGCATCCACTGAGAATCAATGCACACTGTCAAGTAAATGATAGCTAAGGTAAGAATAAATAAAGTAAGAAACATTTGGCCACCTTGCCTGGAGAAAATATACACTTTCCGCTTTAGTACTGCTTCATATGCTTAGGGATTTTTCTCACAAAATTCTTTGTTTCAGCCAGGATATTTGGGTAGATTATTACCCAAACTTTAGGAAGCATAGGATCAGAAGTAAATTTTGTATGCAAATTTGAGAGGTTCGCCAAGTATTCTTGATAATGACTGAAATGATTTTATAATCAGTACATTTCACGTAAACCATGCTTTACCTCTGAATATATATTTATGCATTTGTTATACTCTTAACAAATACCGTAACCACTATCATTATCTTGAAGCGCACAGTTATGCATGTGACTCATAGGTTTTTGAATTGCAGGACAAACTTGTTTAGCCATGCTGAGGTTCAGTAGCACGTTAACACACTGACTGATTATGTTCTGTTTATATACTTTGCAACAGTTATCTATCAAATGAGAGTATAAAAATGTAACATTAAATAACCAAAAAGTGAATGTAAAAAGGAGGTCTATAAAAATTGTTTAGATTACAAGTATTTCAACATATTTTTAGTTGACTGTGATTCTTCAAATAGTACAACCCCTATCATCAAAACAGAAAATACAAACCAGTTTTAAAACTCTCATGTGGATTACAAGGAGCCAGGAAGAAATAAAGTAATAAATAGGTAAACACGCTGGGGTTTATTTTTTTGTTTGAAGAGCTTTCCATTTTTTCTGAGCTCAATTGCTAAAACCAGTAAACTGGTAAATAAAAAACAGTAAAAGTGTTAGCCTGATTCTCCACACAGTTCTGTGAATCACATTTTTAAGAACTACTCATTGCTCATTTTACTAAGAACACTTCATACTACTATGAAAAAACTCATTAAAGTTAAGAGTCCGTTAAGAGTCATTTGCTGGTAGAGAATGCAATCCTTAAATTCAGCAAAAACCAGTGTGGGAAACTGAAGGTCAATAAACTTAAATATGGGTGTGCTAATCTATTCAAATTAATGAAATGACCAATTCTTCCTTACATGTAATTCTGTTTTCATTCTAAGTTCTAATATGTGTAGTCCTTTTTTACTGGGACTATATATTTGGTTTCCTGTCCCCATTGTGATGAAGGAGTGACTGAAGGATGAAAGCTAAATGACAGAATAATATTGGAGTGAGAAAACTTTTCGTAATTCTATATAAGAGGATATGGGAAAAGACACAATCTTCAGAGTCCTTGGGAAGTTCCTTTCTTCCCACCTTTGAAACTACATATTCTGTTGTTCAGCATATAGACTTTTAAAAAATTTTTTCCTGGTAAATCACCTTGTCTTTTGTTTGCCCTCTGAATATTGTAAGGCAAGACTGGCTAGCTTGCAGATTGCATGGCATGTTCAAATATTTCACCTAATCTTGGAGAAACAGTAATTGTTTACTTTCATCTAAGGCTGTAGTCCTTTTCTAAATTTCAGTTTAGTTTCAAGTAATGCAAACAGATACAAAATACTTGCACGCTTCTCTTTCAGCTCCTGGGACAAATATTAAGATGTATGCAAATATCTCCTGCCATTTCTTGGAGCATGATTCTGCTGATTCTCTTTGTGACACTTGATATCACTCATGTAGCAACGTAACAGGCCATGTGGCTTGCCCAGGAACAGAAGGTTAGTTATTTTTACTTCTGAAGATCGCTAAAATTAAGATATTTATTTAAATAACTTAATAAATATTTAGGATTCAACTTAACACAAGTAAGACTGGTAACTGTAGAAATATTTCATTGTCAGAGATAGAGGATTCAGCTCAAGACTAAGTGTTTTCATATTGGCTGTATTTCAGTGGATAAAATCTGGTTCCAGCAATGATATCAGGAGGCCATGTAACATAGGGTTTGGTCCTGTTTAGTTTTACATTTTCTGCTTCATTCTTTTATCAGAATAATTTAAGTGATTAAATTCTCATTTACCCTGTCATAACTTGTGTGCCCATATTCTTTGTTTTCATATTTTTGTGAGAATATATTGTTTTCATTTAAAATTCGATTTTGCATGAATTAACTAAAATTTAAAATACATATATATATCTTGAGCAAATGACATACATATTCCTATAGATAAAGCTGACTTTGCATGAGTGTTACACATGTATGAATCTGTAAGGTGAAGAAAGTGTAATGCTGATTTGCAGTGAGTTTTACAGGATGTCATATCAAGGTTAAAACTGAACAAGTTTACAGTTTCTTACCTGTGAGTTCTAAACCTTTCTCTGAAATGGCTGGAGTTTGTTTGGCTACATTCCATTTTATCCAGGCCTTCATCACTATTTTAGTATTCTTAGAAGCTTGTAGTTTGTGAAACTTGTCAGTCACATTTTAATTGACACAGTTCTGCAAGACATTGATTCATTTTCCCTCCTACTTAGTTCCCCAAAATAGAATCATACGTGTCCGTAACATTTACTTTCGTAATTTTTTAGTGGAGTTTCAAAAATATACGTGTAGCAAATATTTTTAAGAAGTAACAGTTTAGGATTAGAAAGGAACAGCAGTTGGACTACAGATCTAACATATCCATAAAGCTATGTGGAAGTATTGCCAAAAATACGAAAACCAGTAAGAACAAAACATCCTTGCTGCTTCAGTGACATTTTTCAGTACTTACACTATCTTTGGCATGTTTTCCCAAACATTCAGTTTGGGAATCAAGGTGGAATTACAACCACCATTAACTTTTGCATTCAGAAATGAAAGCAACCTCTCTTCATGACCCTTCCAGATCATATAAGATACAAGTACTGACTTTGGTCCACTGAATTGAAAATCAGAAAGGCCATAGAAAGGCTGATAAACATGCACCTATCCATTTATACCATGAGTCATAAAACACTATCAAACAGTATTAGTGAGATGCAAGTCTTTAATCAGTCTGTGTGGTATCAACAAAGGATTTTACCCAACTAATAAATTTAGTAGCTAAAATAAGAATGTTGCCTTGAGCTTTGCAAAAAGTAGCATGATGGCAAATAAGTAAAAAATTAAGTGATTTTTCTTTCAGGCAATCCAAGGAACATTTTGTTTTGATTCCACTTGCTTTTTGTCCCGTTTACTCTTGTCAGGAATACAATCGTGGACATGTGTTTTCAGATGTTCTCAGACTTTATTTGCTAGTAGGAGTGGCATGTGGTTTATAGAAAAAGGAAGATCAGATGCTTTTCAGATGTGGTTCTTACAATGCTAAAAGAAGAAAAAAATTTATTTTCTTCTGGTCCCCATGTCCTCTGTTTGTAAAACATCAGCATGTACACTAAAGCCAGTTATTTGTCCCCAGTATTATGTTTTTCTCCAGTTTGCCCAAAGACAAAGAAGTGGAACAGGTAATAACTTCTGTAGAATGAACTTGAGCTAAAATAAAAGGGTTTATCTTGGGTTTTCCATATATATGAAATCAAAACTAATCCTCTTAAGTATAGTCAGAAATTATTAAAGAAAAGGTCTCAGAACTAATCATAGAATCATAGAATTGATTTGAGTTGAAAAGGACGTTTGAGTTGATAAGGACGTTTTGAGTTGAAAAGGACATTTGAGTTGAAAAGGACGTTAAGATCATCTTGTTCCAGTCCCCGGCCACGAGCAGTGTTGCCTCAAACTGATGTTGCTTCACACTAGACCATGTCGTCCAAGGCTCTGTCCAACCTGGCCTTGGAGCATTTACCACTTCTTTGGGCAGCCTGTGCTAGCGCCTCACCACCCTCACAGTAAAGAAATTAATGTACATAAATTCTCCTTTATCTATGCATGAAAAGGTAACAGAAGCCTATTTCAAAACATTTCTGGTATTTTTGCCAGGTCAATAAGTATGATATGCAGCACAGCAAAAGTCTAACACCACAGTTAATTCACTGATTTTTGTCTGTGTTTATAGCTACACAAGCAGCATTTATGTTTAAGCTATGAAAATAATGATAGAGTTTATATTATCTACAGTTAACTAAATGGCTCTATGACCAAACAAACAAAACCCTCAAACCCACTAAAAACTAATGGTCTACAGGTTTATTCTCTACTAGATGCTCTCTATAGCACTCTCTTAAATCATCTGGCCTCACTAAAAGAAAAGGAAAAAACGAATAGATGAAAAAGGAGAAAAAAACAGGAAAAAGAAAGAGTGGTCAGAAAATAAAAAACACACAAAAATCTAAAAAGAAAAAGACAGCAAAAGAAAAAAAGAGCAAGGAAAAATAAGGAAGAAAAATAAGAAAAAAAAATAAGAAAAGGCATGTACAGTTCAACAAACTTGATTTGTAGGAGTGGTGGGAATGCATGCAAAGGAAAATTCCTAACTGCAAATTCTGCAGTTCACAAAGATTAGGTCTTTGGTACAAGATTGAAAGTGGCTTTCTTATTAGCAGCTACATACTTGAAGTATTCCAGTAGCATTGCATTCTGAAATACTTACCGTGGTCAGTTTTCTTGTAGCTAGTTGTAAATTCCATTAATTCTAGCTAGAACAGTATCAGCTAATATGACAAAAAATGTTTCTTTTAATCTCTGAAATGTTACATTTTTTTTCTGTATCATCTAATAACAATGATAAACCTACAACAGTATTTTAAAAATAGAGACTTGGCACTACATTTCTTTGCAAACATCTCATTAAATAGCTACACAAGGTTACAAAGCAGTGTTCACATTCTTTTCAATGCCTTGCAAGGGACATTTGTATTCTATCAGCAGTGTCTGGAAAAGATAAAGCCCAAAATGTAATAAATACTTTCTCATGTTTATAGATTTCCCAGCTATAATTACAATAATGACTCTTGACTGATCAAAGTATCAACAAAGAGACAACCAGATGAAGCTCAGCTGTAGTGTCAGCTGGGAAGTTTTTCTGGCTTATACTGAAGTCTATGGAAGCTTTCATACAATCTGCATGACATTAACACATTAAAAATCATTGAAAGTCTAGAATTAGGTACTGTAACAGAACTGCAAACCCATAGGGTGAGAAAGCATAACACTGAATTAAGCTTGTTCTATACTTCATCTGTCCTTATTCTTTATCTATCTTTACTTGCAAGAAAGACCATATAAAGAAAATGTCAGATGAGGTTGCAGAGCAAGAAAATTGACATGATGCTTAAAAAGGACCATCTGGTCCATAAAGTTCATGATGCTAATGTTCTTTCTGCTGGCCTTCTGCAGTCCTATGATTACATCAGCTGTCATATAAGGAAAAAAGACAGAATGCTTATGCTTTATAGTTAGAAGAGAAAAAAATAGCTTAAAGCAGTATCAACCAACATATCAAAGGAACCCAAAATATTTATAAAAAAGTTTGAAATGACTAAGACAGAAAATACTGCAACTATGATGGGAAAATTTAAACTAAATTCTTGGTCAGATCATAGAGAAAAAACAGTTTCTTGGAGAATATTAGGTTGGGCTGAACAGAGGATGAATTCTGACGTATATAAAATCACTTGTTGATTTCATTTTTTCATTACTCATTTAACCTTAAACTTACTACTGATATTACTACTACTTCCAAGAAATTCATACCCTAGGGTCTTCGAGCCTTTTGCCTAGCTATGACAACTGTACCTGCTTCATCAGATGTCCTGGTTTTGGCTGAGATATTTAATTTTCTTCACAGTAGCTAGCATGGGGCAATGTTTTGTATTTGTGCTGGAGACAGTGCTGATAATGCAGAGATGTTTTTGCTATTGCTGAGCAGTGCTTACACAGTCAATGCCTCTTCTGCTTTTCATACCCACCACACCAGTGAGTGGGCTGTGGGTGCACAAGGAATTGGGAGAGGACACAGGAAGGATGTGTATCACCTACCCATTGTGTACAAACTAACCCTGTTATCTGCCCTCTAATAATGCCTTACATCTCATGTTCCTCCCAGTTCTTTTCATTCTTTTCTCTCTCTCTCCACATTATGAGTCCAGAGTCCAGAATGGATTCTCTATTTTTATTTCCTAAATACCTGATTTGCCTCCACATTCTGAGGACACGTTTCTTACCATAATTCCACTCAAAACCTTTTCTGCCATGTCTGCCAAGCCACAGCTCGTGAACAGAAAATGAGATGTGGTATGCAGTTAAGAAATTGGATAAGCATCTTTCTTTAGTATGTTTGCTTACATTATGCTGCATAGTACCAATTATTAAAATAAACTGTACACTCCTTTAGCCCATCTGTTTCTTAGCTCAGCATTTTATTTCATTCCTGCAACAGCCAAATCATAACCTAATGGTTATGCTAAGAAAAACCCACAGGCACTGCTGGCTGCCTCTGACCTGTGTTTGTTATAGTTAAAGGTACATGACATAAACTGAGCAAAACCTAAGCAAATGCAGTATTTAATATGCAGATGTTTATTACTTCTGTCTTGGATAGCCAACTTTTTAAAAAGTTATATTTTACAGTTCACAGTTTTATTTTTTATACCCCACATAAAGTCACAGACTGTTTTATGTGGGTATGGTCTTTGGAACACTTGAAGAGGAATTTAGTGCCAAATTCATAAATCACTTTGAAGTGATATTTTTTTTTTCCCATTTGAATTCATTACTTTTTTTTTATCTTATAAACATGCAAACTGACGAAGTAATTTATAAGAACTACTGGTGTACAGGTAGAAGAGTGCATTAGTTTAG